TACACACACACACAGACACACAGACATACACAGATAGACACACAGATAGACACACACACAGACAGACACACAGATAGACACACACACAGATAGACACACAGATAGACACACACACAGACATACACACACAGATAGACACACAGCCTCTCCCACAGGGACTCCTCCATCTATACACACACACACACAGACACACACACAGATAGACACACACACAGACACACACACAGATAGACACACACACAGACACACACACACAGATAGACACACAGACACACACACAGATAGACACACACACAGACACACACAGATAGACACACACACAGACACAGATAGACACACAGCCTCTCCCACAGGGACTCCTCCATCTATACACACACACACACAGACACACACACAGATAGACACACACACAGACACAGATAGACACACAGCCTCTCCCACAGGGACTCCTCCATCTATACACACACACACACAGATAGACACACACACAGACACACACACAGATAGACACACAGATAGACACACACACAGACATACACACACAGATAGACACACAGCCTCTCCCACAGGGACTCCTCCATCTACACACACACACACAGATAGACACAAACACACACAGACACACATACACACACAGATATACACACACACAGATAGACACACAGCCTCTCCCACAGGGACTCCTCCATCTACACAGACACACTCACACAGACACACACAGATAGACACACACACAGACACACACAGAGACACACACACAGATAGACATACACACAGACACACACAGATAGACACACACACAGACACACACAGATAGACACACACACAGACACACACAGATAGACACACACAGAGACACACACACAGACACACACACAGACACACACACAGACACACACAGATAGACACACAGATAGACACACACACAGACACACACACAGATAGACACACAGATAGACACACACACAGACATACACACACAGACACATACAAACACACACAGATAGACACAAAGCCTCTCCCACAGGGACTCCTCCATCTACACAGACACAGATAGACACACACACAGACACACACACAGACACACAGATAGACACACACACAGATAGACACACAGCCTCTCCCACAGGGACTCCTCCATCTACACAGACACACACAGATAGACACACACACACAGACACACACACAGATAGACACACACACAGACACACACACAGATAGACACACACAGATAGACACAGACACAGATAGACACACACAGATAGACAACAACAACAACCGCCACTCGCCACTAAATGGCGGTGACGTCACCACGACGCTTGTGCCAGGCCATGTGCACCTTGAGGCCACGTGAAGTGTCGAACGCCCGCTGGCAGGAGGTCACGGGGCAGACCCAGCAGGTGCCACGGGTCGACTGACTGAGATACAGAGATACACAGAGACACTGGGATAGACACAGAGGTACACAGGGATACATAGACAGAGGGATACATAAAGACAGTGACACTGAGGTACATAGATACATAGAGATACATAGAGACACACAAGGATATATAGAGATACACTGAGGTACATAGAGATACATAGATACACAGGGATACATAGAGACAGTGACACTGAGGTACATAGATACACAGGGATACACAGAGATACATGGAGACAGTGACACTGAGGTACATAGATACACAGAGATACACAAGGATATATAGAGATACACAGAGATACATAGAGACAGTGACACTGAGGTACATAGAGATACACAGGGATACACAGGGATACAAAGAGATACATAGAGATACATAGAGACAGTGACACTGAGGTACATAGAGATACACAGAGATACACAGGCATACATAGAGATACATAGAGACAGTGACACTGAGGTACATAGAGATACATAGAGGTACACAGAGATACACAGGGATACATAGAGACAGTGACACCGAGGTACATAGAGATACATAGAGATACACAGGGATACATGGAGACAGTGACACTGAGGTACATAGATACATAGAGATACATGGAGACAGTGACACTGAGGTACATAGATACACAGAGATACATAGAGACAGTGACACTGAGGTACATAGAGATACACAGAGATACATGGAGACAGTGACACTGAGGTACATAGATACACAGAGATACACAGGGATACATAGAGATACATAGAGACAGTGACACTGAGATACAGAGATACACAGGGATACATAGAGACACTGAGGTACATAGATACATAGAGATACATAGAGACAGTGACACTGAGGTACATAGATACATAGAGATGCACAGGGATACATAGAGATACATAGAGACAGTGACACTGAGGTACATAGATACATAGAGATACACAGGGATACATAGAGATACATAGAGACACTGAGGTACATAGATACACAGAGATACACAGGGATACATAGAGACAGTGACACTGAGGTACATAGAGATACACAGGGATACATGGAGACAGTGACACTGAGGTACATAGATACACAGAGATACATAGAGACACTGAGGTTACAGAGATACACAGGGATACACAGACACTGTCTCTGTGTCATCACCACCGTGGTCTCTCCACTGCTGGATGAAGACCAACGTGGTGCCGATGTCTCCTCGACCCTGCGCGTGTCCTCTAAAGCCACGTGGCTCCAGTCTCTCTCAGTGTCATCATCGCCGCCGTGGTCTATCCACTGCTGCACGGTGACTTAACAAACGATCTCTCACGCCACCCACCAACAACCAATGCCAACGATTTGGAGGAGAGGGGGGTGAGGGGGGGCCCATCGAAAAGCCCTCTGGCGGGGGGAATCGAGCACCCGAAGCCCGCAGGGTGAACTAGGCGAGACCGTGGTCCCGAGTGCGGCCTAGGCGAGAGAAAACCTCGGGCTCACCTCGTCCTCGTCGAGGTCGTCATCGTCGTCGATGTTCTCGTCGACGTCGGCCGCCTCGATCGCCCTCCTCTCTTGAATTTCTGCCGCCATCACAACAATTCTTGTTTTTTTTAATTTTAAAATTCTCCTCAGTCAAATTTTTTTTTCACTTTCCCTTACAGCGGTATAGAGTGCGGGAGGCGTCGAGGAGTCGCGCTGATTGGCTGGCGGAGCATCACGTGGCGCGCGATTGTATTTAATACACCGGATGGGTATAGGGGTGGTGGGAGTTTGTATTTTCATAGAGCGGATTGGGGAGAAACCCGCGAAGCGTGAGTGCCCGCCCCGTGCGTGGTGACGTCGTCACGCAAAGCGCGAGCCGCCGTCTCTCAACGGCGGGTGCGTATTGCGCGTGACGTCATCACGCAAAGAAGTGAAACGCGTACGTGGTGACGTCGTCACGTAATGTCCAGCCGCCGCTGGTTGTTAGACGTCACCGCACGTTTTTGTGTAACGTAATGCGCGTGACGTCATCACGCAAGACAAAACGCGTGCGTGGTGACGTCATCGCGTAAAAGCAAGCGCCCTCTCTGGAATAGACGTCACCGCACGACGCTGAGTAACGTCATGCGAGACGTCATCACGCAAAGGGGGCAAACGCGTGCGTGGGTGACGTCATCACGCAAAGCAAACGCCACGCGTCTGAAAGTGGAAATCGTTTTAGTGGGTGATCTCAATAGGAATTGGCTAAACCCCGCCGGCCGTGGCCACAATTAATAAATGTTCCCACAAGACCCAACCTAAAAAATCCGGGACAGTCAACTCTGCTTGACGTCCTATTGACAAATGCCCCTCACAATTTCGCGTTGACTGGTGTTCTGGGTAATAACCTTAGTGATCACTCCTTCATTTTTGGGGTGAGATCATCAGCCAGACCCAAAGCCCCCCCCACTAAATTGGTTGAGAAGCACTCCATGGGACACTTCAGCACTCAGGCATTTACTAATGATGTGCTTCACTCGGATATTGACAAGGTCTGTGATATCCCCAACCTGACTACGGCTTGGGAGACCTTCACGTACACACGTTTCTCCAAATTCTTAACAAACATGCTCCGTTGGTTAGACTTAAAACTAAAGGCAACCGCCCACCATGGTTTGATCCTTTGATTACAAAGCTCATGAAAACTAGGGACAGGGCTTGGGCACGTGCTCAGAAAAGTAATTTGGTCAATGACCGGCTAGAAAACAGGATTTTGAGGAATACTTAAAATCCTGTATTCTATTCTAGACTTGAAGCTTTCGTGACTCCAAGGATCCATACTCTTTGGTTGTATTCGGTAAAGTCACGTAAAAGTATAAAACAACAAAAATTAAAAATTCACGACGTTTTGGCCGCAACCCAAGTGGCCTTCATCAGGTGAAGGGACCGTGTTGTCATGAGGACAGCGCTAGAATGAACACAGCCAAGCTCAGACCGCGACCTTTAAGCTGAGCTTGGCTGTGTTCACTCCAGCGTTGTCCTCTAGACAGTCTGGTCCCTTCACCTGATGAAGGCCACTTGTGTTGTGGCCGAAACGTCGTGAGAATTTTGTATTTTTGTTGTTTTATACTTTTACGTGACTTTACCGAATAGAACCAAAGAGTATGGATCCTGTATTCTAGCCTACTTTTCCTCCACTCTCCTGGAATCACATGGAAATGCCAGGATTTTCTGGAAAACAATCAAATGTATCGAAAAGTCATCCAAAACAGATAATCTGCCCGTTGAGCTTAACCTAAATGGGGGAATATTTTTCAGATCCCAAAAAAATAGTTGACAATTTTAACCTTTATTTTTCTGAAGCTGGTAATCTTTTTTGATAATGTATTGGGAGTCACCCCTGCTCATGCCAATTCCTACACCCCTGTCCAAACATTAAACGAATTTAGTTTCCAGCCAATCCACGAAAGTAATGTTCTGAAACAACTGTCCTACCTCAAAGGGTCCTCCTCTACCGGAGCAGATAGTTTTCCCGTCTTTGCTCTACTAACTGCTGGTCACCTAATATACAAACCTATAGCCCATATTTTCAACCTGTCCATCAAAGAAGCATCAGTTCCTCTAGAATAGAAACATTCCTATGTCCGTCCACTTCACAAAGGGGGCCCTAAAGATGATCCAGATAGCTACCGACCTATCTCAATTTTGTCCCCGTTGATGAAAATTTTTGAAAAATTATTGAACTACCAAATTAGCAGTTTCCTGTCCACCAACAATCTACTACATCTAAAACACTCTGGGTTCCGGAAAAAAATACAGCACCACATCTGCTGCATTAGACTCTCTGAATCACATTTACAGTAGCCTTGATACTAAGCAGTACTGCTTAGTGCCTGTCTTTTTCTTGACCTGTCCAAAGCTTTTGACACAGTAGACCACAACACCCTGCTTAGTAAACTAAGTTGCCTTGGTTTTTCCGAAAACGCAGTAAAATGGTTAAAACATTACCTCTTTTCTCGCACTCAAACTGTACTCACAGATGGTTGGAGGTCAAACAGTGTTAAGATAATAAAAGGGGTTCCATATGGTTCCATCCTCGGCCCCCTCTTGTTCTCTCTATATGTCAATGACTTGGGCACTGAACTGGATCATTCCAGGGTAAATCTTTTTGCAGATGACACAATACTGATTACTGCTGGCCGCTCTCCGGATGACGTGATTGCTAAGCTCCAGGGCGATTTCAACAAACTACAACATCAGCTAGTTGCTCTTAAACTAGTCCTGAATACCTCCAAAACCAAGGTGCTATGCTTCTCACCAGGACTAAAGCAGGAAGTTATTTTTCCCCAATTACATTCCTTAAATAATTATCAAATAGAGCAAGTCAAGATCTATAAGTATCTTGGGGTCATCCTGGATTCAAAACTGAATTTTTAACATCACATTGATTATATTGGTAAAAAGACAAAAATAAAAATTGGTTTTCTGTATCGACACAAGCACTGCTTCCCCCCAATGTTCCGTTTGGAATTGATAAAAGCTACCATACTGCCTCTACTTGATTACTGTGACATCGTGCATAAATCAGCCCCAAGTACTGTACTGAAGGAGCTTGATTCCATCTATCACTCGGCCTTAAGATTTGCATTGAACTGCCCATATAGGACTCACCACTGTGATCTCTACATTGGGTCACACTTAACATCTCTTAATGTCCGACGGCTTGTGCACCAGATCTTATTTATTCACGATGTACTTACAAAAAAATCCGCAGACTACCTGCTGGATCTCCTCTCTGTTTCAAAGAACAAATTTGACCTCAGGTCTTCGCTCATTTACCAGCTTCACATTCCCCTATTGCTGTACAAAAACCGGAGGAAGGGCCTTTGCTATTGATGCCCCCAGGGTCTGGAATGCTATTGCCAACTTGAATCACTACCTATGAGAACTTCACTCAAAACTGCTCTAGAGGAGTTGTACACCCCTAGCTGCCACTGCTATTCAGTGGCCTAAAATCAAATAAAATGTTTCGCTCCGGATGACCGCTGCAAAGTATTATCTGTGTTTTGATTTAGCGTGCTGATCTTAAAGGTGCATTGAAAAATTTGATACTCCGACTGACGCTCCTGTTGTTGTGGAGCAACTCATGCAGCCAGCTGTGGCTCTAGGGTTTGGTGTTACATGTTATTTATGTAGTTTATTGTAAAAAAAAAATCGGTCACAGTTCCAATGATCACTGTTACGTTGCTTTTATGGCTTTATTTTGGTGATGTCGAAAAGTTGTTTTGGTTTGGCCACGTTTGTTTGTTGTAGTACGGAGTTAGACTGATGGCCTTAATCTTAGTTGTCTTGTGGTTGTTGTTGTAGTACGGAGTTAGACTGATGGCCTTAATCTAAGTTGTCTTGTGGTTGTTATTGTTGTAGTACGGAGTTAGACTGATGGCCTTAATCTAAGTTGTCTTGTTGTGGTTGTTGTTGTTGTAGTACGGAGTTAGACTGATGGCCTTAATCTAAGTTGTCTTGTGGTTGTTGTTGTAGTAGTACGGAGTTAGACTGATGGCCTTAATCTAAATTGTCTTGTTGTGGTTGTTGTTGTTGTAGTACGGAGTTAGACTGATGGCCTTAATCTAAGTTGTCTTGTGGTTGTTGTTGTAGTAGTATGGAGTTTAGACTGATGGCCTTAATCTAAAGTTGTCTTGTGGTTGTTGTTGTAGTACGGAGTTAGACTGATGGCCTTAATCTAAGTTGTCTTGTGGTTGTTGTTGTTGTTGTAGTACGGAGTTAGACTGATGGCCTTAATCTAAAGTTGTCTTGTGGTTGTTGTTGTTGTTGTAGTACGGAGTTAGACTGATGGCCTTAATCTAAAGTTGTCTTGTGGTTGTTGTTGTAGTACGGAGTTAGACTGATGGCCTTAATCTAAAGTTGTCTTGTGGTTGTTGTTGTTGTTGTAGTACGGAGTTTAGACTGATGGCCTTAATCTAAGTTGTCTTGTTGTTGTTGTAGTACGGAGTTAGACTGATGGCCTTAATCTAAAGTTGTCTTGTGGTTGTTGTTGTTGTAGTACGGAGTTAGACTGATGGCCTTAATCTAAAGTTGTCTTGTGGTTGTTGTTGTTGTAGTAACGGAGTTAGACTGATGGCCTTAATCTAAGTTGTCTTGTGGTTGTTGTTGTAGTACGGAGTTAGACTGATGGCCTTAATCTAAAGTTGTCTTGTGGTTGTTGTTGTAGTACGGAGTTTAGACTGATGGCCTTAATCTAAGTTGTCTTGTTGTTGTTGTAGTACGGAGTTAGACTGATGGCCTTAATCTAAAGTTGTCTTGTGGTTGTTGTTGTTGTAGTACGGAGTTAGACTGATGGCCTTAATCTAAGTTGTCTTGTGGTTGTTGTAGTACGGAGTTAGACTGATGGCCTTAATCTAAATTGTCTTGTTGTGGTTGTTGTTGTAGTACGGAGTTAGACTGATGGCCTTAATCTAAATTGTCTTGTTGTGGTTGTTGTTGTAGTACGGAGTTAGACTGATGGCCTTAATCTAAGTTGTCTTGTTGTGGTTGTTGTTGTAGTAAGGAGTTTAGACTGATGGCCCTAATCTAAGTTGTCTTGTGGTTGTTGTTTTTGTTGTTTGATTTGCATCCCACTGGGATTTTTGCACACAGCGTTGGTGTACGGTGCTTTTTCAGGAATATTTTGCTGTTTTTTTCCTAGTCACATAGTCACTTTAAGATGTTTTTCTTGTTCATGTTTCAGTTTTTTGTGTGTTGTGGTTGCACCCGATTCAAGAGCCGAATGGCTCACAGAGCTATACCAAATTAAATGAAACTGAAACTGGACACGGCGCTGAGGAACGTAATGCGAGCGACGTCATCACGCCAGACAAACGATTGCGTGGTGATGTCATCACGCAAAGCAACGGGCATCGCGCGTACGTCTGAGCACGACGCTCGGTGCCCCGCCTCTTCGACATCATCACGCACGCCCCTCTACCCCCATAGCTCCACCCCTACCCCCTAGCTCCACCCCGTACCCCCCTAGCTCCACCTCCCACCCCCTAGCTCCACTCCCTACCCCCCTAACCACACACCCTACTCCCCCTAGCCCCACCCCCTACTCCCCCTAGCTCCACCCCTACTCCCCCTAGCCCCACCCCCTACTCCCCCTAGCTCCACCCCCTACCCCTAGCCCCACCCCTACTCCCCTAGCTCCACCCCCTATCCCCTTGCTCCACCCCTACTCCCCTAGCTCCACCCCTACTCCCCCTAGCTCCACCCCTACTCCCCCTAGCTCCACCCCTACTCCCCTAGCCCCACCCCTACTCCCCTAGCTCCACCCCCTATCCCCTTGCTCCACCCCTACTCCCCTAGCTCCACCCCTACTCCCCCTATCTCCACCCCTACTCCCCCTAGCTCCACCCCTACTCCCCTAGCCCCACCCCTACTCCCCTAGCTCCACCCCCTATCCCCTTGCTCCACCCCTACTCCCCTAGCTACACCCCTACTCCCCTAGCTCCACCCCTACTCCCCCTAGCTCCACCCCCTACCCCCCTAGCCCCACCCCCTACTCCCCCGAGCTCCACCCCCTACTCCCGCTAGCTCCACCCCCTACCCCTCTCCTCCCTTCCCCCATTGCAGTGTGCGCGTGGTCGAGGATGCGCGTGCAGGTGAGGAAGTGGACCGCGGTGGCGACGTGGACCTGGGTCGCCAACGACGACAACTGCGGCATCTGCAGGATGCCCTTCAACGGCTGCTGCGCTGAGTGTGAGTGGTGGTGGTGAGGTGGTGGTGAGGTGGTGGTGGTGAGGTGGTGGTGGTGAGGTGGTGAGGTGGTGGTGGTGAGGTGGTGGTGGTGAAGTGGTGGTAGTGGTGAGGTGGTGGTAGTGGTGAGGTGGTGGTGATGGTGCAGGATGCCCTTCAACGGCTGCTGCGCTGAGTGTGAGTGGTGGTGGTGAGGGGGTGGTGAGGTGGTGGTAGTGGTGAGGTGGTGGTGAGGTGGTGGTAGTGAGGTGGTGGTGGTGGTGGAGGTGGTGGTGGTGAGGTGGTGGTGAGGTGGTGGTGAGGTGGTGGTGGTGGTGGTGGTGGTGGTGAGGTGGTGGTGAGGTGGTGGTGGTGAGGTGGTGGTGAGGTGGTGGTGGTGAGGTGGTGGTGGTGAGGTGGTGGTGGTGAGGTGGTGGTGGAGAGGTGGTGATGGTGGTGAGGTGGTGGTGAGGTGGTGGTGGTGAGGTGGTGGTGGTGAGGTGGTGGTGGTGAGATGGTGGTGGTGAGGTGGTGGTGAGGTGGTGGTGGTGAGGTGGTGGTGGTGAGGTGGTGGTGAGGTGGTGGTGAGGTGGTGGTGGTGAGGTGGTGGTGGAGAGGTGGTGGTGAGGTGGTGGTGGTGAGGTGGTGATGGTGAGGTGGTGGTGAGGTGGTGGTGGTGAGGTGGTGGTGGTGAGGTGGTGGTGGAGAGGTGGTGGTGAGGTGGTGGTGGTGAGGTGGTGGTGGTGAGGTGGTGGTGGTGAGGTGGTGGTGGTGAGGTGGTGGTGAGGTGGTGGTGGTGAGGTGGTGGTGAGGTGGTGGTGGTGAGGTGGTGGTGGTGAGGTGGTGGTGGTGAGGTGGTGGTGGTGGTGAGGTGGTGGTGGTGAGGTGATGGTGGTGAGGTGGTGGTGAGGTGGTGGTGCAGGATTCCCATTAACGGCAGCTGCTCTGAGTGTGAGGAGGGGTTTTGAGGTGGTGGTGGTTGTGGGATCGTGGTGGTGGTGGTGTTTGTGGGATCGTGGTGGTGTCGTGGTGGTGGTGTCGTGGTGGTGGTTGTGGGATCGTGGTGGTGGTGTCCTGGTGGTGGTTGTGGGATCGTGGTGGTTGTGGGATCGTGGTGGTGGTGGTTGTGGGATCGTGGTGGTGGTGGTTGTGGGATCGTGGTGGTTGTGGGATCGTGGTGGTGGTGGTTGTGGGATCGTGGTGGTGGCGGTGGGATCGTGGTGGTGGTTGTGGGATCGTGGTGGTGGCGGTGGTGTCGTGGTGGTGGTGGTTGTAGGATCGTGGTGGTGGTTGTGGGATCGTGGTGGTGATTGTGGGATCGTGGTGGTGGCGGTGGTGTCGTGGTGGTGGTGGTTGTAGGATCGTGGTGGTGTTTGTGGGATCGTAGTGGTGATTGTGGGATCGTGGTGGTGGCGGTGGTGTCGTGGTGGTGGTGGTTGTAGGATCGTGGTGGTGTTTGTGGGATCGTGGTGGTGGTTGTGGGATCGTGGTGGTGGTGCCGTGGTGGTGGTTGTAGGATCGTGGTGGTGGTTGTGGGATCGTGGTGGTGTTTGTGGGATCGTGGTGGTGGTGGTGTCGTGGTGGTGTTTGTGGGATCGTGGTAGTCGTGGTGGTGGTGGTGGTTGTGGGATCGTGGTGGTGGTTGTGGTGGTTGTGGGATCGTGGTGGTGGTTGTGGGATCGTGGTGGTGGTTGTGGGATCGTGGTAGTCGTGGTGGTGGTGAGCACCCCCAGGGGCCCCTCGCCTGAAACTTGGCTGCCGGCCTCGAGGGAGGCGAAGCCGGCAGCGTGCCTAGGCGAGGCCGTGGTCTGAGGCCTTCCTCTCGGCGGCAGTGGAGATACAAAACTTAAGCACAGACAGCCTCTACCATACCCTGTCTCTCTGTCTCTCTGTCTGTCTGTCTCTGTCTCTCTGTCTGTGTCTCTGTCTCTCTGTCTCTCTGTCTGTGTCTCTCTGTCTGTCTGTGTCTCTCTGTCTGTGTCTCTGTCTGTGTCTCTCTGTCTCTCTCTGTCTCTCTGTCTCTGTGTCTCTGTCTCTCTGTCTGTCTGTGTCTCTCTGTCTGTGTCTCTGTCTCTCTGTCTGTCTCTCTGTGTCTCTTTGTCTCTTGTCTTTCTGTCTATCTGTGTCTCTGTCTCTCTGTCTGTCTCTTTGTGTCTCTGTCTCTGTGTCTCTCTTTGTGTCTCTGTCTCTCTGTCTGTGTCTCTGTCTCTCTGTGTCTCTTGTCTTTCTGTCTCTGTGTCTCTGTGTCTGTGTCTCTCTGTCTGTCTCTCTGTGTCTCTTGTCTCTCTGTCTCTCTGTCTGTGTCTCTGTCTCTTTGTGTCTCTCTGTGTCTGTGTCTCTCTGTGTCTCTGTCTCTCTGTCTGTCTCTCTGTCTCTCTGTCTCTTTGTGTCTCTCTGTCTGTCTCTGTCTCTGTGTCTCTGTGTCTCTGTCTCTCTGTGTCTCTGTGTCTCTGTCTCTCTGTGTCTGTGTCTCTGTCTCTCTGTCTGTGTCTCTGTCTGTGTCTCTGTGTCTCTGTCTCTCTGGTGTCTCTATGTCTCTGTGTCTCTGTCTGTGTCTCTGTCTCTCTGTCTGTGTCTGTCTCTCTCTCTGTGTCTCTTGTCTTTCTGTCTGTGTCTCTGTCTCTCTCTCTGTGTCTCTGTGTCTCTGTCTCTCTGTCTGTGTCTCTCTCTGTGTCTCTCTGTGTCTGTCTGTGTCTCTGTCTCTCTGTCTGTCTCTCTCTGTGTCTCTGTGTGTCTCTCTTTGTGTCTCTGTCTCTCTGTCTGTCTCTCTCTCTGTGTCTCTGTCTCTCTGTCTGTGTCTCTGTGTCTCTCTCTCTGTGTCTCTTGTCTTTCTGTCTCTGTCTCTCTCTTTGTGTCTCTGTCTCTCTGTGTCTCTGTCTCTCTGGTGTCTCTATCTCTCTGTGTCTCTGTCTTTCTGTCTCTGTCTCTCTGTCTGTGTCTGTCTCTCTCTCTGTGTCTCTTGTCTTTCTGTCTCTCTGTGTCTCTGTCTCTTTGTGTCTCTGTCTCTCTGTGTCTCTGTGTCTCTGTGTCTCTGTCTCTCTGGTGTCTCTATCTCTCTGTGTCTCTGTCTTTCTGTCTCTGTCTCTCTCTTTGTGTCTCTGTCTCTTTGTGTCTCTCTGTCTGTGTCTCTGTCTCTCTCTGTGTCTCTTGTCTTTCTGTCTCTCTGTGTCTCTGTCTCTTTGTCTCTCTATCTCTCTGTGTCTCTGTCTCTCTGTGTCTCTGTCTCTCTGTGTCTCTGTCTCTCTGGTGTCTCTATCTCTCTGTGTCTCTGTCTTTCTGTCTCTGTCTCTCTCTTTGTGTCTCTGTCTCTTTGTGTCTCTCTGTCTGTGTCTCTGTCTCTCTCTGTGTCTCTTGTCTTTCTGTCTCTCTGTGTCTCTGTCTCTTTGTGTCTCTATCTCTCTGTGTCTCTGTCTCTCTGTGTCTCTGTCTCTCTGGTGTCTCTATCTCTCTGTGTCTCTGTCTCTCTCTCTGTGTCTCTGTCTTTCTGTCTCTCTGTCTCTTTGTGTTTCTGTCTCTCTGTGTCTCTGTCTCTCTCTCTGTGTCTCTTGTCTTTCTGTCTCTCTGTGTCTCTGTCTCTCTGTCTCTTTGTGTCTCTGTCTCTCTGTGTCTCTGTCTCTCTGTGTCTCTGTCTTTCTGTCTCTGTCTCTTTGTGTTTCTGTCTCTCTGTGTCTCTGTCTCTCTGTGTGTCTGTCTCTCTGTGTCTGTGTCTCTGTCTCTCTGGTGTCTCTATCTCTCTGTGTCTCTGTCTTTCTGTCTCTCTCTTTGTGTCTCTGTCTCTCTGTGTCTCTGTCTCTCTGTGTCTCTGTCTCTCTGTGTCTCTGTCTCTCTGGTGTCTCTATCTCTCTGTGTCTCTGTCTTTCTGTCTCTGTCTCTCTCTTTCTGTCTCTGTCTCTCTTTGTGTCTCTGTCTCTCTGTGTCTCTGTGTCTCTGTCTCTCTGTGTCTCTGTCTCTCTGTGTCTCTGTCTCTCTGGTGTCTATCTCTCTGTGTCTCTGTCTTTCTGTCTCTGTCTCTCTCTTTGTCTCTGTCTCTCTTTGTGTCTCTGTCTCTCTGTGTCTCTGTCTCTTTGTGTCTCTGTCTCTCTGGTGTCTCTGTCTCTCTGTGTCTCTGTCTTTCTGTCTCTGTCTCTCTCTTTCTGTCTCTGTCTCTCTTTGTGTCTCTGTCTCTCTGTGTCTCTGTGTCTCTGTCTCTCTGTGTCTCTGGTGTCTATCTCTCTGTGTCTCTGTCTTTCTGTCTCTGTCTCTCTCTTTGTCTCTGTCTCTCTTTGTGTCTCTGTCTCTCTGTGTCTCTGTCTCTTTGTGTCTCTGTCTCTCGGTGTCTCTGTCTCTCTGTGTCTCTGTCTCTCTGTCTCTCTTTGTGTCTCTCTCTGTGTCTGTCTCTATGTGTCTCTGTCTCTTTGTGTCTTTTTCTCTCTCTCTTTGTCTCTCTGTCTATCTTCGTGTCTCTCTCCGTGTCTATCTCTGTGTGTATATCTCTCTGTGTCTCTATCTCTCTGTTTCTCTCTGTGTCTCTCTCTGTGTCTCTGTCTCTCTGTGTCTGGCTCTGTCTCTCTCTGTCTATCTGTCTCTCTGTGTCTGTCTCTCTGGCTATCTCAGTCTCTCAGTCTATCTCACCACACAGAGACGCACCGAGATACACAAAGACACACAGAGACACACAGACTCACCACACAAAGACACGCAAACTCATCACACAGAGACCCATAGACTCATCACACAGAGACACACAGACTCACCACACAGAGACCCATGGACTCACCACACAGTGACACACAGAGACATGTAGAAACCCATAGACTCACCACACAGACACAGACTCATCACACAGAGACACGCAGACTCACCACATAGACACACACAGGGACACACAGGGACACACAGAGACACACAGAGACCCATAGACTCACCACACAAGACACACACAGAGACACGCAGAGACCCATAGACTCATCACACAGAGACACGCAGACTCACCACACAGAGACACGTAGACTCATCACACACGCAGACTCACCACACAAGACACACAGACTCACCACACAGACACACACAGGGACACACAGAGACACACAGAGATCCATAGTCTCACCACACAGAGACCCATCGACTCACCACACAGAGCCCCATAGACCCATCACACAGACACGCAGACTCACCACACAGACACACACAGGGACACACAGGGACACACAGAGACACACAGAGACACACAGAGACCCATAGACTCATCAGACAGAGACATGCAGACTCACCACACAGAGACATGTAGACTCACCACACAGACACGCAGACTCACCCACAAGACACACAAACAGACAGAGACACACAGAGACCCACAGAGACATGTAGAGACCCATCGACTCACCACACAGAGACATAGACTTATCACACAGAGACACGCAGACTCACCACACAGAGACCCATAGACTTATCACACAGAGACCCATAGACTTATCACACAGAGACCCATAGACTCATCACACAGAGACCCATAGACTTATCACACAGAGACACGCAGACTCACCACACAGACACGCAGACTCACCACACAAGACACACAAACAGACAGAGACATGTAGAGACCCATAGACTCACCACACAGAGACACAGACTCATCACACAGAGACACGCAGACTCACCACACAGGGACAAACAGAGACACACAGACCCATCGAATAACCACACAGAGACACAGACTCACCACATAGACACACACAGGGACACACAGGGACACACAGAGACACACAGAGACCCATAGACTAACCACACAAGACACACAGACACACAGAGACACGCAGAGACCCATAGACTCATCACACAGAGACACGCAGACTCACCACACAAGACACAGACAGACAGAGACACACAGAGACCCACAGAGACATGTAGAGACCCATAGACTCACCACACAGAGACACAGACTCACCACACAGAGACCCATAGACTCATCACACAGAGACACGCAGACTCACCATACAGAGACCCATAGACTTATCACACAGAGACACGCAGACTCATCACACACAGACCCATAGACTCACCACACAGAGACCCATAGACTCATCACACAGAGACACGCAGACTCACCACACAGAGACACGTAGACTCACCACACAAGACACAGACAGACAGAGACACACAGAGACCCACAGAGACATGTAGAGACCCATAAACTCGCCACAGAGAGACCCATAGACTCATCACACAGAGACACGTACACTCACCATATAGACACACACAGGGACTCACAGAGACACACAGAGACCCATAGACTCACCACACAAGGCACACAGACACAGACACACACAGAGACCCATAGACTCACCACACAGAGACACGTAGACTCATCACACAGAGACCCATAGACTCACCACACAGAGACACGTAGACTCACCACACAGAGACACGTAGACTCACCACACAGAGACACGTAGACTCACCACACAGACACGCAGACTCACCACACAGAGACACGTAGACTCACCACACAGAGACCCACAGACTCACCACACAGAGACACGTAGACTCACCACACAGAGACCCACAGACTCACCACACAGAGACACGTAGACTCACCACACAGACACGCAGACTCACCACACAGAGACACGCAGACTCACTACACAGAGACACGCAGACTCACCACACAGAGACACGTAGACTCACCACACAGAGACACGTAGACTCACCACACAGAGACACGTAGACTCACCACACAGAGACCCACAGACTCACCACACAGAGACCCATAGACTCACCACACAGAGACCCATAGACTCACCACACAGAGACACGTAGACTCACCACACGGAGACACGTAGACTCACCACACAGAGACACGTAGACTCACCACACAGAGACCCATAGACTCATCAGACAGAGACACGCAGACTCACCAAACAGACACACAGGAACACACAGAGACCCATAGACTCGCCACACAGACACACACAGAGACCCACAGACTCTCCCCTACCCTTTCCCCGACCCTCATCATTGACCTCTTGCTCCCTGCCCTCCCTCCCCCGTGTGTAGGCAAGCTTCCCGGAGACGACTGCCCGCTGGTTTGGGGGCAGTGCTCCCACGCCTTCCACATGCACTGCATCCTCAAGTGGCTCAACTCGCAGCAGCTGCAGCAGCACTGCCCCATGTGCAGGCGCGAGTGGAAGTTCAAGGAGTAGAGAGGGCGGTGGAGGTGGTGGTGATGGTAGTGGAGGTGATGGTGTAGGTGGTGGTGGAGGTGGTAGTGGAGGTGATGGTGTAGATGATGGTGGTGGTGTAGGTGGTGGTGTAGATGACGGGAGGTGGTGGTGGAGGTGATGGTGTAGATGACGGTGTTGGTGGTGGTGTAGGTGGTGGTGTAGATGATGGTGGTAATGGTGTAGATGACGGGAGTTGGTGGTGGTGGAGGTGATGGTGTAGGTGGTGGTTGTAGATGATGGTGGTGATGGTGGTGTAGGTGGTGGTGGTGGTGGTAGTGGAGGTGATGGTGTAGGTGGTGGTGTAGATGATGGTGTAGATGACGGGAGGTGGTGGTGTAGGTGGTGGTGTAGATGATGGTGGTAATGGTGTAGATGACGGGAGGTGGTGGTGGTGGTGGTAGTGGAGGTGATGGTGTAGGTGGTGGTGTAGATGATGGTGGTGGTGTAGATGACGGGAGGTGGTGGTGTAGGTGGTGGTGTAGATGATGGTGGTGTAGATGATGGTGGTGATGGTGTAGATAACGGGAGGTGGAGGTGGTGGTAGTGGAGGTGATGGTGTAGGTGGTGGTGGTGGAGGAGCTAATGGTGTAGATTGAGGTAGTGGAGCTGAGTGGACCTGCCGACGACCGGTACCAGCGGTGTCAACATCGGCCTCTGCGTTGGAGGAGGAGGCTCGTGACGGACGCCGCTGGTCAGTTGTAGGCATCCGCCCTCCGGCAACAACGGTCGAGGGCGGAGGAGCCACGGCTCACAACAACGAGCGGAGCGCCGGGCGGCTAAAGCGCAGCGAATCGGTACCAGCGGTCGAGGAGGAGGAGGCTCGTGATGGACGCCGCTACTGCTGTTGCTCGGAGGCAGCCGCCCTCCGGCAACAACGACGGAGGAGCGGCGGCGGCGGCGGCGGCTCACAACAACGAGCGGAGCGCCGGGCGGCTAAAGCGTAGCGAGTCGGTACCAGCGGTCATCCCGGTCGGTCGACCCGCAGCGCCCAGCTGGGTCAGCGCCTTGACCTCCTGCCGGTGGGCGTTCGAAGCTTCACGTGGCCTCGACGTGCACCTAGCCCGGCACGGGCGCCGTGGTGACGTCACCGCCACTTAGTGGCGAATGGCGGTTGTTGTTGTTGTAGTGGTGGTGATGGTGGTGGTGGAGATGATGGTGATAGTGAGGATTGAGAGATAAGATCCTTGGATATTGTTTGCGTGGGCAGATGTGTGCGTGTGTGGGCAGGTGTGTGTGTGTGTGCAGATGTGTGTGTGTGGGCAGATGTGTTTGTGTGTGGGCAGGTGTGTGTGTGGGTAAGATGTGTGTGTGTGGGGAGATGTGTGTGTGTGGGTAAGATGTGTGCGTGTGTGTGGGGAGATGTGTTTGTGTGGGCAGATGTGTTTGTGTGTGGGCAGATGTGTTTGTGTGTGGTTAGATGTGTGTGTGTGGGCAGATGTGTGTGTGTGTGGGCAGGTGTGTGTGTGGGGGCAGATGTGTGTGTGGGCAGATGTGTTTGTGTGTGGGTAAGGTGTGTGTGTGTGGGTCAGATGTGTGTGTGTGGGTCAGATGTGTGTGTGTGGGGAGATATGTGTTTGTGGGGAGATGTGTGTGTAAGATGTGTGTGTAAGATGTGTGTGTGTATTGGGGAGATGTGTGTGTGTGTGGGGGGGGGGAACGGTAGTGTAGCGGATTAGCTCCTGCGAACCCGGCATAGACCTGAGTTGGATTCCTGCTCTCGGCCACCACCACTCAGTGATGGCGATTATCTCAACCGGTTCTGGGCCTCCCCCAGTGCTAGCGATGTTCACCACACACCGGTGGTGCGTGGTGAACATCGCTAGCACTGGGGGAGAGACAAAGGCGGCCGGGCGTGGTGCTGGCCACCCACCCCCTCTGTGTGCCACAGTGCTGGTCGCCTTCATAGGTGCTGCTACTCGCTAACAGCACTTGCCCCTACAGGTCTGTTACAGGCTACACGGGGGATCTTTGTAGTTGAGATATTGTGTGGGGGGAGATGTATAGGTGAGATTGTGTGTGTGTGTGGGAGATGTATAGGTGAGATATTGTGTGTGGGGGGAGATGTATAGGTGAGATTTTGTGTGTGTGGGGAGAGATGAATAGGTGAGATATTGTGTGTGGGGGGAGATGAATAGGTGAGATATTTTGTGTGTGTGGGGAGAGATGTATAGGTGAGATATTGTGTGGGGGAGATGAATAGGTGAGATATTTTGTGTGTGTGGGGGGCAATGTATAGGTGAGATATTGTGTGTGTGTGGGAGATGTATAGGTGAGATATTGTGTATGTGTGTGGGGGAGATGTATAGATCAGATATTGTGTGTGTGTGGGGGGAGATGTATAGGTGAGATTGTGTGTGTGGGGGGAGATGTATAGGTGAGATTGTGTGTGTGGGGGGAGATGTATAGGTGAGATATTGTGTGTGTGTGGGGGGAGATGTATAGGTGAGATTGTGTGTGTGGGGGGAGATGTATAGGTCAGATATTGTGTGTGTGTGGGGGGAGATGTAGAGGTGAGATTGTGTGTGTGGGGGGAGATGTATAGGTGAGATTGTGTGTGTGTGGGGGGAGATGTATAGGTGAGATATTGTGTGTGTGGGGGGAGATGTATAGGTGAGATATTGTGTGTGTGGGGGGAGCTGTATAGGTGAGATATTTTGTGTGAATGTGGGGAGAGAATTCGTTTCGATGATCTAGCCGTGTTGGCTGATGAATAAAGACGCGTTGCATCTGCAGGCTGGGTTCATTTTGAGTTGGTGAGTCTGTAAGTCTCTGTGTGGTGGGTCTCTGTGTGGTGGGTCTCTGGTGAGTCTATGGGTCTCTGTGTGGTGAGTCTATGGGTCTTTGTGTGGTGAGTCTACGGGTCTCTGGGGTGAGTCTATGGGTCTCTGTGTAGTCAGTCTATGGGCCTCTGTGTGGTGAGTCTACGGGTCTCTGGGGTGAGTCTATGGGTCTCTGTGTGGTGAGTCTATGGGTCTCTGGTGAGTCTATGGGTCTCTGGTGAGTCTACGGGTCTCTGTGTGGTGAGTCTGGTTTTCTGTATTGAGTCTATGGCTCTCTGTGTGGTGAGTCTGGTTTTCTGTGTGGTGAGTCTATGGCTCTCTGTGTGGTGAGTCTATGGGTCTCTGTGTGGTGAGTCTATGGGTCTCTGTGTGGTGCGTCTATGGGTCTCTGTGTGGTGAATCTATGGGTCTCTGTGTGGTGAGTCTGGGTTTCTGTGTGGTAAGTCTGGGTTTCTGTGTGGTGAGTCTATGGGTCTCTGTGTGGTGAGTCTATGGGTCTCTGTGTGGTGAGTCTATGGGTCTCTGTGTGGTGCGTCTATGGGTCTCTGTGTGGTGAATCTATGGGTCTCTGTGTGGTGAGTCTGGGTTTCTGTGTGGTAAGTCTGGGTTTCTGTGTGGTGAGTCTACGGGTCTCTGTGTGGTGAGTCTACGGGTGTCTGTGCGGTGCGTCTATGGGTCTGTGTGGTGAGTCAATGGTTCTCTGTGTCGTGAGTCTATGGGTCTCTTGTGTGTTGAGTCTGTGGGTCTCTGTGTGGTGAGTCTACGGGTCTCTGTGTGGTGAGTCTACGGGTCTCTGTGTGGTGAGTCTACGGGTCTCTGTGTGGTGAGTCTATGGGTCTCTGAGTGGTGAGTCTATGGGTCTGTGTGGTCAGTCTCTGGGGTGAGTCTATGGGTCTCTGTGTAGTCAGTCTATGGGTCTGTTTGGTGAGTTTATGGGCCTCTGTGGTGAGTCTACGGTTCTCTGTGTGGTGAGTCTGGGTCTGTGTTTGGTGAGTCTACGGGTCTCTGTGTGGTGAGTCTATGGGTTTCTGTGTGGTGAGTCTATGGGTCTCTGTGTGGTGAGTCTGTGGGTCTGTGTGGTGAGTCTGTGGGTCTCTGTGTGGTGAGTCTATGGGTCTCTGTGTGGTGAGTCCACGGGTCTCTGTGTGGTGAGTCTATGGGTCTGTGTGGTCAGTCTATGGGTCTCTGGGGTGAGTCTATGGGTCTCTGTGTAGTCAGTCTATGGGTCTGTTTGGTGAGTTTATGGGCCTCTCTGTGGTGAGTCTACGGTTCTCTGTGTGGTGAGTCTGGGTCTGTGTTTGGTGAGTCTACGGGTCTCTGTGTGGTGAGTCTATGGGTCTCTGTGTGGTGAGTCTATGGGTCTCTGTGTGGTGAGTCTATGGGTCTCTGTGTGGTGAGTCTATGGGTCTGTGTGGTGAGTCTATGGGTGTGTGTAGTGAGTCTATGGGTCTCTGTGTGGTGAGTCTGGGTCTCTGTGTGGTGAGTCTGGTTTTCTGTGGTGAGTCTATGGCTCTCTGTGTGGTGAGTCTATGGCTCTTTGTGTGGTGAGTCTGGTTTTCTGTGTGGTGAGTCTATGGGTCTCTGTGTGGTGAGTCTATGGGTCTCTGTGGTGAGTCTATGGGTCTCTGTGTGGTGAGTCTGGTTTTCTGTGTGGTGAGTCTATGGGCCTCTGGTGAGTCTATGGGTCTCTGTGTGGTGAGTCTGGTTTTCTGTGGTGAGTCTATGGCTCTCTGTGTGGTGAGTCTATGGGTCTCTGTGTGGTGAGTCTATGGGTCTCGGTGTGGTGAGTCTATGGGTCTCTGTGTGGCGAGTCTACGGGTCTCTGTGTGGTGAGTCTATGGGTGGTGAGTCTATGGGTCTCTGTGGTGAGTCTATGGGTCTCTGTGTGGTGAGTCTATGGGGTCTCTGTGTGGTGAGTCTATGGGTCTCTGTGTGGTGAGTCTGTGGGTCTCTGTGTGGTGAGTCTGTGGGTCTCTGTCACCTGAGGTGGGGGGCGGTGGAGGGAGAAGGGGGGAGTTTTCCCGCCTTTTCTAACGGTCACCTGAGGTGGGGGGGGGGGGTAGAGGGAGGGGGGGAGTTTTCCCGCCCTTCCTAACGGTCACCTGAGGTGAGAGGGGGGCGGTGGAGGGAGAGGGAGGGGAAGTTTTCCCGCCTTTTCTAACGGTCACCTGAGGTGGGTGGAGGGAGAGGGGGGGATTTTTCCCGCCCTTTCTAACGGTCACCTGTGGTGGAGGGAGGGGGGAGTTTTCCCGCC